TTTTGCTTTACTTCACTTCAGGGTGGAGTCATCTTCCTTGCAAAGTCTCCATGCAGCTTTCCAGGGCTCTGGCTGTCCTTGCTGGTGCCCAGGGTCAGCTTCCAGACATCTGGCCTTGACCACTTGTTGAAATTTTGCAAGTCTCAAAGAACTGTTAGTTTTGCAAAGTACTGATTAGCTTCTCAGCCTCATCTTTCTATTTAGCAAGCAAGATGAGAAAGTCAGGGGATGGGGCGAAAGGAAAAAAACTGTCCCTTTTAATGCCTTCCCACCTCCCGCACCACATCCCAGGTGGTTTTAGGTCCTAACACGGCCTCAGTCCTGCTCACTCCAACAAGAGGGTGGGGGCGAGGCGTGGTGAACATGGAGGCTGAGCCTCTGGAGGGTGCTCTGTGCCAGCGGATGGGAGGGGAGGGAGGACAGGGCGGCAGGGAAGCGCGCAGGCGCCAGCTGGGTGCCCACAGGGAGCGCACGCATCTGCACGTGTGTTATGTTCACTGGTTTTTTTGGCAGGTTATGTTCTGGCCCTTGAAGCAGAAATACAAACTCTAAAGCATAAATTTAAAACACTGGAAGAACAGCTAGAAGATGTGTTAGATCCTCCAAAGACGTCCTCCTCTTACACTGATACTCAACCCCGTGTCCAACCCTCCGCAGAGACCACCGGTAAGAGCCCTCGGCATGTTGCGTCCCGTCACACTGTCTGCTTATTTTATTTAATTTATTTATTTTATTATTATTATTATTTTTAAAGATGACCGGTAAGGGGATCTTAACCCTTGGCTTGGTGTTGTCAGCACCACGCTCACCCAAGTGAGCGAACCGGCCATCCCTATATAGGATCCGAACCCGTGGCCTTGGTGTTATCAGCACCCCGCTCTCCCGAGTGAGCCACGGGCCAGCCCCACACTGTCTGTTTAAAAGCTGAAATGTGATTCTGTGGAAAGTTCACTACGTGAGCACGTATAGCTCAAGGATTGCCGCGAACATCAGGCTCCCCATTGCCAGACCCGGGAGCCCTGTGCTCCCTCCAGAGTCGGCCCTGTCCCAACCCCTGCAGAGCTCAGTGTTTCCTGTCTTCACGTAAACGGGATCATACGGTCCATGTGCTTTTGTTTGGCTTCTAGTGACCTCCATAATGTTTCAGTCAGTCACGCCAGACTGTTCTCCAAGTGTTTGTACTCATTTGCCCTCTACCCAAAGGCCACGAGGGGCCATTGCTCCACGTCCCCACCAGCTCCGTGTACGGCCATCCATTCAGACGTCAGCCATTCTGCTGGGTGTGCAGCGCATCCCACGACGGTTTATTTTGCGTTTCCTTCTTTATTAGTGAGCTTGAACGTCTTTTCCTCTGTTCATTGGTATATTAGTCTGCTCAGGCTGCCATAACCACGTACCACAGGCCAGGCGGCTTAAAGAGCAGACACTTATTTTCTCAGTCCTGGGGTCTAGATGTCCAAGGTCAGGGTCCAGAGGGCTGTTTTCTCCCGAGGCTTCACTCCCTGGCTTGCAGACAATGCCTCTCCCTGCACCCCTGTGTCCTGGGCGGCTTAAAGAGCAGACACTTATTTTCTCAGTCCTGGGGTCTAGATGTCCAAGGTCAGGGTCCAGAGGGCTGGTTTCTCCCGAGGCTTCACTCCCTGGCTTGCAGACAATGCCTCTCCCTGCACCCCTGTGTCCTCAAGTCCTCTTTTGAGGACACCAGTCCTGTGGGATCTTATGGGACACAATTCAGTCCGTAGAAATTGGCCTTTCAATATCCTCTCTTTTGGAGTGCCAGTTCATGTCTTCTGCCCGTTTTTTATTGGACCGTCTGCCCTTTTTCATGAATTTTTAGGGTGTTTTACTGTGAGTGTGACCCTGTTGTTAGTCACATGTGACATCTCCCGGTCCGTGGCTCTGGGTAAGCGGAAGTTCTTCATTCTAACAGACTCAGCCAATGTGTCTGCTCCTTATTTAATTTAATTTTTTTTGGCAGCTAGCCAGTGCAGAGATGGAACCCTGGACCTGGGTGTGGCCGGTCACCCACTGCCGCTGTAGCCCCTTCCCCACATGGAGCTTTTCTCACCACCCCGGGCCCTGTCCCTCCCAGGCGTGGCAGCCCTCCACGGGACATCCTCCCCCTGCTGGGGCCAGACAGCCCACCTCAGCTTAAGCGGACGCAGGCCCGGCCCGGTGGCCCAGGCAGCTCCATGGCCATCTGCCTGAGGGCCTGAGGGCTTGTGGGACCAACTGTCAGGAAGGACAGGAAGGGGCAGGGTGGCGGGGTGCTCTTCTCCCTTGGTGAGTGGACCCTCGTGTGGCCATGTGGCCCTCCTCTGCATGCGGCGGTGTTCTTGCTCTGCAGCTCCCCCAGCTGTCTTCTGGCTACTGTGTGTGGCGTGTCGTTTACACTAAGTGCAGTGGTCGATGTGTGAGGTGTGAAGTCTGCTGGTTAATGCTGTTTTCTGTCTGCTGCTTTTGTCTTTCATTCCTGTTTCCTCTTTCCTGCCTTCCTGTGGGTTGCTTCAACATTTTTTGGTATTCCATTTTTATTTGTATATAGTATTTTGAGTATGTTTCTTTGTGTAGTTTTTCTAGTGGATCCTCCAGGGCTTACAATATGCTCACCGTCACAGTCGGCTAGCGTCAGCATTTTACAAGTTCAAGCGCGGGTACCTCACCAGGATCTAGGTCCCCTTCCCCGTGCTCCGTCATGACACGGGTGTCTTCACCGTCACCTCCGCACACGTTGAGAACCACATCACATGGGCTGTGGTTCTGCTCTCACCCATCAAACGTGGCTTGAAGCGCTTGGGAGGGAAGGCGCACCCTCGTGCTTGCCCCGCGTGCTTGCCCCGCGCCTCTTCCTGCGCTCCGGTCGCCAGGCCTCCTTCCGCCGTCCTTTAGCAGTTCTTGCAGAGCAAGCCTCCTGCTGACGAGCTCTCTTGGTTTCCCTTTTTCTGGAAGTGTCTTTATTTCACTCTCATTCCTAAAGAACGTCTTCACTGAATACGTGCTGTGCCGCTTCCTTCCGACGGGACCCCACGCGGTGGTTTCTGCTGGACAGCCTCTGCCGTTGGAGTCACGGTCCCTGCAGGGCTTGGCGTGCTCTCGAGACTTCGTCTTTAGTTTTCAGAAACTTCGCCGTGCTGTGTCCAGGCACCGACTGCTTTGGGTTGTCCTGTTTGACGTTGAATCTGAAGGTTTTCTCTTCCCACAGATCTGAGACATCGTCATCCCTGCTTGCTCGCGTGTTTTTCGGCTCCACACTCCCTTCCCTTTCGGAGCTCTGAGGACACAAACGTTTCATCTTTTGTGTTGTCCCAAGGTCCCCGAGGCTCTGTTATTCCTTTCTCGATTTGTTTTCTCTGTTGTCCAGACGGGATCATTTCTGTTGGCCTGCTCTTCAGGCTCGTTTCCGTTGCGGTTTTCCCATACCTTTCCTTTCTTTGCTGAAACTTGCATTTTGCCGGGGCCGGCCCGGTGGCACACTGCTACAGTGCGCTGCTTGGGAGCGCGGCGGCGCTCCCGCCGAGGGTTCGGATCCCACAT